ACTACCTACTACCTATACTATAGAAGTCTTGGGCCATCCATTCAATAGTTGACCATCGCAATATCCAAGGCGGACGAGTCCAAGTTCGCTTATCGAAGGGAGTCGAAAATCTGCATTGAAGCGGTCCAGTGGTTGTTTACTTTTGGTTTCTCGGCTTTATATTATACGCAATTTCTTTTTTAAATATAAAAGCGATTCCTTGAGTCTAGTGTTTTTACAGATTCAGGTGTGGGGTAAAGATACCTACCTGCCTACGTAGTGCCTCGAAACTTTTGATAGAGACAATTAGTGAATTAATTAGCAAAGTTAAAGCTGTTACGAAAAGTCTTTAACGAACTTTCATTGTCGTTATTGTGTTTTTTTTTCTATATACACATCATAAACATTAGTGTTAAAACGCAATTTGTGGCTCTAGTGAATCAACAGGTGCCTGTGTTTTGGATAACCGCTGACAAGGTACTTTTTATGACTGTTTATCGAACTGCCATTATTATTAATGGTAAATTTTATTAGATTTATTGAATAGGTTGTTACGAAAAACCTATAGATAGACAGTTATCGTTTTTGTTTTGGGTTGTTAGGAAAAACCTATATATAGACAGACATTTCAATTGTCCCAAGATGGGCAAACATAGGCGTAGCCGAAGTAGTTCTAGTAGCAGTAGCAGTAGTAGTTCTGCTTCAAGTAGCTCATCATCAAAAACAAATAGAAAGGGTCGTTATGATAAGTCAACTTCTGAACGCTCCAGAACTGATACTCGACATAACAAGCGGTCAAAATCGGCGCAATTACCATCTAAAAATAGCGCAGAAAAACGACAAATGGTGCGTAGCACAGTACATAGAACCACTAGCATGCCAAGAGACTGTTCGGGATATCCATCTGATATTTTAGTGCATGTGCCGAGTAGTGCAGCTACTGTCACCAGCGAAGAGATCAGAAATAGTGATTTTTACACCCCGATTTTTCGACAGTTAAGCACGTCGAACTTACAGAGTACCCGAATAGGATCGAATGATACTATTGACAACTCAGTAGGACTACAACAATCAGAAAAATCAGCGTATGAAGATCGAATAAAACGCTTGGAACAGCAAGTTGAAAATTTGACAAAACAGAATTCATCTGAAAGTCCTAAACTAACACTAAGAAGTGACTGTATTCCAGAATTTTGCCCTGAAAATGAGAACCTATCGGCAGCAAAGTGGCTAGAAAAAATAGACCAATTGAAAAATATTAATAGATGGGATGACGTCACGACAATTTACCATATGCAATCACGGTTAGCTGGCATGTGAAGAACTTGGTATCACAGCTTAAATTCTTTAAACTACACATGGTTAGAATGGAAAGAACTAATCATAAAAACATTTCCAGACCACATTGATTATGCGAAGGCCTTACGGAAAATGCTGGAAAAAACAAAATCGCATAACGAGTCTGTGACTGCATATTACTTTAGTAAAATGGAATTAATAAGAACATGCCAAATAGTAGGCAAAAACGCTGTTTCCTGTTTGATAGATGGGATTACTGACATAAATATTCAGAATGCAGCCCGTGCGGGTCGTTACGAAATACCCGAAACACTTTTTGAGCAATACCTATCTATGTTGCGTGATGAGAGTTCACATCAGTTGCACAGTAATAAACCGGAAACGATTACGAAGAGGCATAACAAACCAGACTTGCGCAATGCTATTTCAAAAAAATTTAAACCATACCACAGAGTAGATGTTATGTGCTACAATTGTAAACAAAACGGACGCTACCAAGCAAGCTGTCCAAAAAGCCGAAAAGTTTGCAGCAAATGCAATTTATTAGGGCATGAGGCTGATCAGTACCGAACAGGAAACACGCAGGCTTGCAAACTAAAGGTAAGCTTCCTCCTATTCTAAGTTTATCTTCTAATCAACCGGTAAGCACTTGCTATTTTATTGATTGCATTATTAATAACGAGCCCCTTAGAGGTTATGTAGACTCAGGATGCGCCGCGGTAACAATTAGAGAGACAAACGCGAAAAATCTCAAGTTACCACTTACACCAGCATCTGTCTGTTTGTGTGGGTACGCTGGGGGGTCCGTCATTGCCAACTGGAAAACAAAAATTTACCTAACTGTAGATCAAGCATCTGCTCACGTAGATGCGTTGATAGTCCCTGACCAAGTACAGGAAGTACCGGTTATAGTTGGACAACCTTTTGTCAATAATGAAAGTGTTACTGTGGTTGTTAGAGGCAATCAAATTCGACTCTACGACCAAAATTTGATAAAAATAGGGACATTGGACGAGTTTTTGTCAAAAAAGGTAGAGCTTGTGTCAGCTGAAACAACAGTCATACCACCTAATTACATGGGTCATATCGTTATTAAGCAAGACGAAAGCGTGAGGGATGTTTTCGTAAACTTGCAGACTAGGGATTGGTCAGACAATTGTCACGTAATTTTACCTTGTATTCTAAATTTAGAAAATAGTTTTTGCTGCGTGCCTGTTATGAATCTATCGAATAAACCTGTCTGTTACGAAAAGAATAGGGTTATTACGAGAGGTTGGACATGTTACGAAAATGTTGAACCATCAGAATCCTTGATGTGTTTACAAACAAGCACTACTCATCTTACCCCTATTACATTAGACGATGTGAAAGGTTTAATAAACCCACAGTTAAATGAGGTAGATCGAGCTAATTTGCTTCAATTAATTAACAAATATCGAGACTGCTTTGCCTTAAGTCTTAACGAAGTCGGTAAGACTGATGTAGCTGAGCTGGAAATAAAGCTGAATGATGACCAATCCATCACTTATCGACCTTATAGGATGCCTTATACAAATCGAGAAACAGTCCGAGATATAGTGCGGGACCTTTTGGCAAATAAGATAATACAGGAATCAGATTCACCCTATGCCAGTCCCATTCTCCTTGTTAAAAAGATAAAATGGGGAGGAGCGAATGTGCATAGATTATAGGGCTATTAACAAATAAACAATTAAAGATAAGTATCCGTTACCTAGGATTGATGATCTTTTGGATAATTTGTCAGGGGCAACATTTTTTACAACATTAGATTTAGCCTCTGGTTACCATCAAATTCCAGTAGAAAAAGAATCTGTTCCTAAAACCGCATTCGTGACGCCAGACGGACACTATGAATACATGAGGATGCCATTTGGTTTGGTTAATGCTCCTGCGGTATTCCAGAGGGCCGTAAATAAAATATTACGTCCACTACGCCATGAAAATGCAATGGCTTATATCGATGACATTTTAGTTCCATCTATTTCAATTGAAATAGGCTTGACGAGACTAGAAAATGTCTTAAAACTCCTCAGAGTAGCAAAAATGACTCTACGATTAAGTAAATGTCATTTTCTGCAATGTCAAATTGAATACCTAGGACATGAGATTTCTAGCGAAGGAATTAAACCAGGATCAGGAAAAATTAATGCTGTAGCTGAATTTCCTATTCCTAAAACTGTCCACGAAGTTAGGCAATTTTTAGGATTGACAAGTTATTTTAGAAAATTTACCAAAGACTTTGCTCGCATTGCCAAACCAATATCTAACCTTATCCGAAAAGATTCAACATTTACATGGGGAACAGAGCATAATGAAGCATTTGAAATACTTAAAAAGAAACTTGTTGAAAGACCTGTGTTAGCAGTATACGATCGTAAAGCTAGAATTGAGGTACATTGTGATGCAAGCAAAGTAGGTTTAGGAGGAATACTTTTACAAGAGCAAAATGATGGCACTCTTAAACCAGTACAATATTTTAGCAGAGCTACAACAACCGAAGAACACTGGTCTGACTATACACCCAATATGTTAAAAGCGAAGAAGCATAAAATATTACAAACAAAACGGAAGAAAATTGCAAGCCAAGAAAAAGAGGAGGACACTGACGACTGCAAACTAGTTATGTTTAATTTAAAGGAAGAATTGCTAGAAAAACCACAAGATGAAAATGCAAAAGGAAGAAGAATTATACTATAATCTTGAAATACAAAATCAAACATTGCAAAATAAAAAATTGCAACTTGAAATTGACTTGTTGCAACAAGAATTAGATAGGCAATGAAGTGCTTAAGAACACATATTGTTAGTAAAATAAAACAAATTAATTTTTTTATTATGATTTGTATTTTATTTTTAATAATATGTAGTATATACATTGACTCGAACATAAAAAATAATAAGTACCTATCTTACCACGACTACAGTGAGTAATAATGATGTAGTGACATGACAGTGATTTTAACACTCTTTTTCCATTAAATTCATAAAATTATGGTTGTCAGGTAATATATTGTTTTCATTCACTTCTTCAATATTAATGTCTATATATGGATCTTGAATAGGGTCTGGTTCATTCATGCTGCGTGCTATATTATGTAGGATAGCACATGCTATAACAACAGATCTTGCTGTCTCGAGTGATAATCTGATACCAAGAGATAGAATTGGAAATCGTTTTTTTAGTACACCAAATAATCTTTCAATTGGATTCCGACTTCTAATTTGAGACTCATTAAATATGTATTTGTTCTACCTCTGTTGCTGGATTGGCAATAGGTGTTATCAAGTACCTTTTTAACGCATACCCTGAATCGCCAAGAAGTACTGTGTTGCCAAACTCATATGTTTCGAAACGAGCTTGCAACCTACTGTTATTAAATATTGTCTGATCATGTGTAGATCCAGGCCATCGTACAACAATATCTCTGATCCATAAATCAGAATCCCAACTACTTGCACATTAATAGAAAAATAGCCTTTTCTGTTACGAAAATATTCAGCATTATTTCCTCCTGAAAACCAACACAAGTGACATGATTGCTCAGTTAACTAAAGATTAAATTAATTACCTGGTGAAATAATTTTTATATGGGTACAGTCAATGGCACCAATAACCCAAGGAAATCTTGCAATGTTGTAAAATTTGTTTTCTATACTCTGCATTTCTTGCTGTGTTCTGGGCATTTTTATATATTCTGGAGCTAATGTTACAATAGAGTGTATCACCTTCTTGACAACCTGGCTGGCAGTCGATTTGTGTATACCACCAAAATCACCAATTGTTTGTAGCATAGATCCTGTAGCACATAATCGTAATACCAGCAGTAACTGTTGCATTGATGTTAATGCGTGATTCCTATAAAAGGTATGTTTTACGTTATCAACATATTGGTTGATTATAGGATTAGGTATTTACTAACCTTTCTGTATTTGGGGCGATATTGTCCCTTATTCTTTACTCCAACATAATTACGGTGTTTTTGCTAAGACGAAATCTTAATCTGAATTCATCTTCATTCCATCTGGTAAAGAGATCAACACGGGCTCTAAAATTTCTAGCAGTTCTAAAAATTCTGTTTTGTAACCTTCCTGCTAATTCATCTTCTGATGTATCAGACGAAGATTCGCTATCACTACTATCTCTCCACAGTAATTGTTCGTTTTCTGAAGACGACGATGATGACATTTTCCAGTAATGCAAAGAAAAATCAAAGAAAATACACAAATCACTCCCGACTTAACCTCAAAATGTACGACTCAACCGGTAGTTAGCATTTCAAACGAAACCCAATCCTCCGGTTGACTGAAACGTCACTGAACCGACAGTTCAACTTTCGGTTATCGTTTATAATACCGAAACTATCAGTTAACCTCCGGTTCAAATTCAGCCTCCGGTGAACCGTACATTATAATACCGGGCCTAAGTGTCATTTATGAGTTGAGAATCTCGCCGCTAGATGAGCCGACGGTATATCGTTAGATCGAGACAAGCCCCATTCACATGGCAAGTGTGGGGGTCGCTCATGGGGGACACAGATCTTATCGTATATAGCAAGACGTGTCCTAAAAAATGGCGCTAGCCCCACTTGTCGCAGGGACATACACACACACAACATTACAAATAGTGACAGCACACCGCTCAACATATCGATTATACTGTTAAGCATCATATTAGTCATAAATATATTTACGATTTTTAAACGAGGCATAATCTAAAGGATATATCTGGAGTTTCCGGACAAACGATGTATTCATGGATTACTAAGAAATTATATGCAAAATACCTCAACCGCAACGAACGTTTAAAGTGTTTTGTTTTCTCGATAATATTGTGTTATAATTATCTCATGCACTTGCGTCATATCGGTCATGGTGTTTATATTGAACGAGCGCATGCAGTAGGTATCATTCTTTCACATTCAACGCTACAACAACAACCACAGTACAAAAGTATTACAAGAGAGAGGACAGAAGTAAAAGTAAGTAAGTGTGCTATTTTATTTAATATTTTTCCTTTTTATGTCTCTAAGTGCAACTATGTGTTTTTTTAAAGTATTCGTGTAAGATAATGAATGTTTCTGGCCTCCATTTTTGTTTAGTACGTTTATTTCGTTTTATGCTTCAAAGTAGTAAAAGACGACTCAATTTTGTTATAGATGGATTTGGCTAAAATTAATGCGGCATCTTTGATTGCAGACCGTAAAGCAGTACGAAAATTAAAGGACCTACCAGTTGGAACAACTTTTGCGATACACTCAGCAAAAGTGGTGAATTCAAAATTTGGAGATTTAGGTCCTGACGTCCTAATTCTACCTCTAAGAGTGACTGAAGTATACCGACCGGCCATTAATGAACTGTGTAACGGAAAATACGGTATAATCTTCCAAGGTGAAGTGGAGATAGGAAAAAGCCGATACCCTAGCGTCATTCGGAATAGTAAAAAATTAACGAGCAGGGTGAGCAATTTTTTTATATATTTTTGCGTAATTTGTATGCTTAAGGTGTTCTTTTTTTTAAATAAAATGTCTTTTCGCATGTCTTCAAATAGGGTTAAAAATATCATCAAACAAACAGACGGTGTTCTACTATCAATTATTAGTTTACGAAAAATTTTATTTGATAATTTTACAATAAGAGACGTGGAAGTGTGGCTAAAACGAATAGAAAAACAAATTAGATTATGTAACAGAGTAATTCGTAGTAGGAAACAAAATAAATTATCTGTAGGGACTTGTAGAAAAATTGAAACAAACTTGGGACATTTTAAACATTTTAGAAAGTTGATTTTAACTAGACATATTGGCACAGGAGGTGAACTTCACTTAACATTGGGTCAGAGGGTTAGATGGGCAGATGTAGAATCAAGCCTTCAAAGCAGAATAACAACCGGTTCTATAGCTAATTTACGTCATAAGGACTTGAATCAATTTTTAGCAGATTGTGCAGTTGTTTTTAAAAGGAAAATTAGTAATATTTTAAAAACCCATCCTGCGCTCAAAGTAAATACAACATTTTGCGGAGAGTTTACTAGGAAATCGTCGTCGGAGGATAATGAAATTTTGGGAATTAACTACCTATTTTAATACTAAAAATCATATTATTGCTGTGTCAACTCAAATAGACGAGTGGTTTAAGATATATGTAAAAGAGAATCTTTTAAATTAATTAACGGAATTTGCCGAAAAAGATTCGGGATTTGCGTTAAATAAAATTATTTATTTGCCTGTTAATATCAATAAATATCATTTTGGAAACGCTTCACCTTATATTAGACTATCAGAACCGATTATAAAAGACAAGCTTGTATAAACATTAAACATAGAGATCAAAATTGCCTTTACTGGGCCATTGTAAGCGCTCTTCGGGCTCCTAGCAATAAAGGACATACAGAACTATCCTCCTCATATCCATACATTACTGACGTTTTACAAACAGAAAATTTAGATAGTCCTGTGCCGCTATCAAATATTTCAAAATTTGAAAAGCTGAATAATATTTCAGTCAATGTTCACGCTTTAGAATTAATTGAAACAGAAAAAACAGCATTTTACACGGTAGTACCAGCAAGATTGACGGATAATAAACGGGACACGCATGTTAATTTACTTTTAGTTCAAAATAAATATTATCCGCGTTTAAATGATTATGATGCCCCCCCCATCACCACTAGCGGATGAAGATAATGATTCCATCGATGAGATTAAATATCACTATTGCTGGATTGAAAATGCTTCGCGTCTTATTAGTTAAATAAGAGTCATAATAAAAAATTTATTTGCGATAGATGTATGAAGTATTTTCAGCAGCAAGACAAATTAGTTGAACATGAAAAACTGTGTTCTAAATTTAACAAATATAAAATTAACCTTCCTAAAGAGAGCTACGTTGAATTTAAAAACTTTACATACCAACAAAATACTCCTTTTGTTATTTATGCACATATTGAATGTCAATTAAAAAATTATAAAGAAAGTAGCGTCGTAAATTTAACTAAAACCGTAAAATATCAAAAACACGTTCCGTATAGTGCTGCTTCCTATGTAAAATGCAGCTATGATGATAGCCTTTCTTATTTCGAGAGCTATCGAGGTACAGATTGTATGGATTGGTTTGCAAATCGTATGGCTGGTGTTGCGCAATTTGTAAACTCAAAAATAAAAACAATCGTACCTGTGATTGAAAAATTAGACACATGTAAGGCAACATCATGTCATATTTGCGGTAAGAGATTTTCAAAAACAAAAAAAGGCAATCGTTACAGATCACAACCATTTCAGTGGAGAGTTCAGAGGTTACGCACACCAAGCATGCAATCTGAACTTTAGAAAATTGTTTGTTGTGCCGGTTATATTCCATAATATAAGTGGGTACGATAGTCACTTTATGATTTCGAATTTATGTAAAAAAGGTCGCTTAAGTCTACTTCCCATCAACAAAGATAAATACATCTCCTTTACGCTGTACTCAGATGAAAATAACATTAAATTGCGGTTTATAGACTCTTTTCGATTTATGGGGGCTTCTCTTGATGAATTAGCTTCAATTTTAGCAGAATCAGAAAAGAAAACTTTACGGAGGGAATTTCAAAATTTAGATGAAGATAAATTCAAATTATTAACACATAAAGGAGTTTTCTGTTACGATTACATTGATTCTTTGGAAAAAAACTAAATGAAACGACTTTGCCCCCAATTGAAAAATTTTTCCATAAATTAAACGATAAAAGTATAAGTGACGAGTAGTATGCTCATGCGCAATCTGTTTGGCGACAGTTTAACATTGAAACATTATGGGTTCGCGATGCAGCAACCTTTACCCTACGGAGGGTTCAAATGGGTGGATGATGTAACATCGTTTGATGTGACGTCAATACCCGACGACTCTGACGTAGGGTACGTGCTACAAGTCGATCTATCGTACCCACAAGAACTGCACGATAACCACAAAGATTTTCCGTTTGCGGCAGTACGTAGCATACCACCCAGCGGCGGCGGCGGCGAGATAAAATTACAGAAATTAATGACAACACTTACGGATAAAAAAGTGTACACGGTTCACTATAAAAATTTAAAACAAATGCTAGTTAATGGATTAAAGTTAACGAAAATTCATAAAATTTTACAATTTAACCCTAGAGTACGGGACATTCGTAAAATTTACGATCGACAATATTCGTCGTGGGTTTTCGTTCATTTTCGGTTAGCGTATCGGAAATTAGACTCTCGATACCTTCCTATTTAGTTTTCGGCTAGACTTCGGTGTACGTAACATCGTGTATTTGTCAAGCGTAACGGAGATTTTGCACTTCCGTCGTAAATTTTACGATAGTCCCGTGTCACTGTTTGCTATTTTCGCGCAAGCTGATTTTTATTCTATTCTTTGAAAAGCGGTTTTGCTGACATTTATTTGTGAGGTAAGGTGTTTTCTATTTTTCATACTTATAGCGTTCTGAGTACATGTCTTTCCAGCGAAATGACTTCAAAACGGTCCTTATCTCAGGCAGAATTGGAAGAAGAAGTGAGAAAAATTATGGAGGGAGGAGACAGTGATCCAGATCCATTTGAGGATAGTGGCAGTGATTGGGAAGAAGATAATATTGAAGTAGAATCGATGAAGGGATCAGATGATTCAAATGATGAATTCTATTTGGACGAGAATGTTCCTGTAAATGAACAAGAAACGACTACTTCGGCAGAGAAAAAGAATGATGACGGCCATGTGAACTCCGACGATCCCGTACATTAACCTCAACTTGAACCTTGTAAAACAAATCACTTTCTAGTTAAACCCAATATTTTGAGTTTGAAAGGAAAGAATGGTCAGAGATGGACATCAACACAGCCCAGCAGAACTAAATGAACTGCTTCAAGAAACCTCATCCATTTTGTGGCAGGCCCGAAAGGTGAAGCGAAGGAGTATGTGACACTGGAAGAATATTTTTTACATTTCTTCTCTGATCCTATTCTTGATATAATATTACTAATGAAGAAATTGTACGACAAAGGCAAAATTGCACGGGTAACAACAATGTGTCACCTACCACTAAAGAAGAACTACAGGCGCTGTTTGCAATTTTGATACTCTCGGCTGCCAAGAAAGACAACCATCTATCTGCCAGACATATGTTTGATACGAAGATTTCTGGTTCCTTCTATAGAGCCTGCATGAACTGTGACAGATTTATGTTCTTACTGAACTGTCTCAGATTTGATTCAAGAGAAACAAGACAGGAAAGAAAAATTAATGATCCTTTCACCCATATGCGTGAGTTATGGGATATTTTCATTGAAACTTGCAGATCATCATATACACCATCTTCTTACCTCACTATAGACGAACAGCTTTTGGGATTTCGTGGACGATGTCCATTCCGCATGTACATACCGAATAAACCTTCAAAGTATGGTATAAAAATTGTCATGCTATGTGACAACTCAACATGCTATATGGTTGATGCTAGTCCATATATAGGAAAAAGTACCAGAACGAATGGTTTGCCGCTTGCTACCTACTTTGTAAAGGAGCTTACAAAATCTGTCCATGGAAGTAACAGGAATATTACCATGGACAAGTGGTTCACGTCCGTCAGTTTGGCAGATGAACTACTCCAAGATCCTTACAAACTGACAATAATTGGAACACTAAGAAAAAATAAAAGGGAAATTCCTCCCGAACTGCTTGACATAAGGCAGCGAAACGTAAATACATCAATGTTCTGTTTTGATCAAGAAAAAGTATTACTTTCGTATGTGCCTAGGAAGCAGAAATTAGTACTGCTATTGTCTACAATGCATGAGGGTGCTGAAATTTCAAAACAAACAGGAAAACCAGCAATTGTTCAGAACTACAATGAAACTAAAGGGGGTGTCGACACATTCGACCAAATGTGTTCCAACATGAGCTGCAGTAGGAAAACTAGAAGATGGCCCCTGTGTGTGCTATATGGTATGGTGAATATAGCCAGCATCAACTCCTTTGCGATTTATACTTTTAATGCTTTATCAAGAGGAGAGAAACCCCTTTCACGTTACCAGTACATGATAGATTTAAGTCGTCGCCTTGCTGAGCCATGGATGAGACATAGATTATCGACTCCTACGTTGCGTCGAAATATAAGTCAAGATATTGCCCTTCTTCTCAATATTCGAAAAGATACAACACCTGAAATCCCTCTAGAAAAAAAGCGTAAAACGTGCTTTTTTTGCCCTTCTCAAAAGAGACGGATGACAACGACGTATTGTGGACAGTGTGGACATCCGATCTGTGGTGAGCATCGAGGAAATGTATGCAAGGAATGTAGTGTCAAATAATATATATTGACTTTTTATTGATATTTTGTTCTTGCATTTTATTGTAAAGTCCTTAGAAATATATCTTTTATTTTTCATGAGTTTTTTCATAAGAATTTTATTGTACAATGCAAGTTTTATATTATCTTCGTATATTTTACGATAGTCCCGTATTAAAGTATTTTGAAACAAGTCCCGTAATCTAGGGTTAAACAAACAGTCTGGCTGAAGCCCTACATCGAGCTGAATACTCGATGTAGGGCTGCAGCCAGAAATCATTTTGAAAAAAATCTTTTTAAATTAATGAATAACGCTGTATCGGGTAAGACTATGGAAAATATACGAAAGCACCGTATATGTAAAATCGTTAAATCTTGGGGTGGCCGCTATGGCGCAGCATACTTGATTTCGAGTTTTCGGTTCCACAGTCGCACAATTTTAGAGGAAAATCTGGTGGTTATCGAATTGAAAAAGACTGAAATAACGTTTAACAAACCTCTGTATGTAGGACAGACAATTCTAGACCTATCGAAGGTGGTCATGTATGATTTCCATTACGCCTATATGTTACGAAAAATGGGAACAGATAGGTGTAAGCTAATGTATATGGACACTGATAGTTTCGTCTACGAGTTGCAGTGTGAGAATGCATATGAGGAGATAATTAAAGCTGAATCCAGTAAATTTGATACTTCGGATTATACTGAAAATAATATATATAAAATACTGCGTAAGAACAAAAAGGTTCCGGGTCTAATGAAAGATGAAAATAACGGCAAAATTATGACACATTTTGTTGGGCTTCGAAACAAAATGTATAGCTACAAGTTGCAGGATGGGAAGGTGGTTAAAAAATCTAAGGGGGTTGAAGACAATGTTGTTAAAAATAAAATTACATTTGAGGATTATGTTGAATGTTTGAAAAAAATTAAGGAAAAAACATTCGGTCGTATGCACACATTCTGTTGAACAGGCAAAAATTACTTTAAGTCCGTATGACGATAAACGAATAACATCATCAGCAGCAGAATTCATGGAACAGTCTCCTCCCCTACCATGGAAATTAACTAGGGAAATAGTGAAACAATTTCCTTTATATAGATGGCGTGCTATGATAAAAGAAGCCAAAAATGATCCTGATCCTTCATATACAGACATTAACTTTATTACATGTCACAAAGAAATAAGTTTAAATTCATACTATATTAGGAAAATCAGAATGGGGTTATGTTTTTGAACATTATTCTAGTTACTGTGTATGGATAAGTGGATGTTGGCTTGAACAATATGGTCCGAACGTATGTAAAACGTATTTGTCTAAACTTAGATAAAAACATAAAACTTTAAATAAACATTTATTTGTCTGGTATGATCATTCTCACCAGGTTTACGTTGCTGATGATGTTATTTTGAACGTATATCAACAAAAGTATAATTGGTGTCACAGCTGCTTTAAAAGCGTATTATTTAAGTTAAAAGACCAGGAATCTTGCAGCGATGCCTTACATATGTCTAGAAATCATAACATCCGAACCCCATTTGATAAATCCGATTTAGATAGCGATATTGACTAAAGAAAAAACATTACAGCAAACAAAAATTACAAAAAATAAATAAATAATTTGTTCGTCCCCAGTTTCTGTAAAAAACGAAAATGTTGTACTAACATTTATATTATATAGGTATTTTTAAACATGTATGTAATTAGAATTAATAAATGAATATTTTAAAAAGCTCTTCTGGTTTTTAATTGATTTCGGTTAGCGTTAAGATTTTTTATGTAAGAGAGTTCAATATGTATTTTTGAGCAAAGTATGCACACGTCATGTGCGTCACGTAATAAATAAAACGAGACAGATATACACATTTTTACAAAAAAACATTATTAAATTAGGATTTCAAGATCATTAGCGATCCTATGTCCATCGAAAAATATAAGTTGCCCTAGCGCTATATGTTGTAAATGTATACAATTTTTGAACAGCATCTGAAAACGTATAATTTTGATCATTAAAACTAGCTCGAACAGTCTTCAGCACATTATAATAATAGTTTGTAAATTCAACAGTTTATAGCATACACATATACGGCACTAAAAGTTCGTTATTTGCTTCTAAAAGAGCGTTCACTTCCATGCCTGAGAGGTAAAACCTAATCTTGTGCTTGGTTATTTTGAGGATTTTCGTGCTATCATAGATAAGTCGTCGAATTCTGCAATAGTCACCGCACTGGATTTCGACAGGATCATACTTGTCAGGAAGATCCTCCTCCTCCTTCTCCACCGTTACCACCAACACGTTTTCATTGAGTTGGGTGATTAATTGTTCCCACTCATAGGAACTGAAAGATATTTTCTACCATGTTGATGAGTTCCACACAATTACAGCAGGAGTAAATTATCTCGCTGGACTTAGACCGGATCCAATTTGGTATGATCCATTTGAAAACTGTGTGTACAGCAGATAATGGATCTCGTTCTTGGCTGCTTCTTCGTACCTCTCCAGAATCGCATCCAATTCACGATCGTAGTCTCCACCACCACCTCCACCACCACCATCAGATAGTTCGGATGGTAATGACGGTGACGTCAAACTGGCTGCAACTTGAACCACTGGTATACATTGTTACTAGCTGACTGACTGACTAACTGTTTGCGACCGACTGAGAACTCACTTTTAGCAGAAAAATACGTCGTCGTCGTTGCCGCCGCTTCCCCTATACACCTAGACGGCCGCATCATTATCAATCCAACTATTATGTTTTGTATCAAGGCCAAGCCTTTACGACGTAAAACTTTTTCATCTAAATAAACATCTGGATTGGCTGTTTTCTGTAATTCTTCATCGTAAAAGGCTCCATTGATCAGTGCACCTTGCATATCTTCGAGCATGTACGTTGCAGGGTTGGTAATATTAATTTTAGTAACTTTAAATAATTCCGTTGTCCAACTTGGAACGTATCCCGTGTCGAATAGCATTTTGGTTTTGATACATACAATGTCGCCAACTTTACATGTACGCGGGCCTGCGATTTTTAAAAGAGTATATTTTCAATTTAAGATACTTTTTTCGTTGGATTCATTAATTTGTGACGGTTTACATCCGATGCTTCGATGACGTGTTTCATTCATTGGTAATGCTGTGTAATATATCAATCCATTTATACGATCCCATTAAGCTAAAGTATTTGTAAAGTTTATTCTTCAACGTTCTTATGGCTCTTTCAGCAAAGGCAGCTTTCTTGATGATATATCTACTATAATGATTAATATCATGTTTCTTTATTAAAGTTTGAAATTTGCTATTGTAAAATTCTTTACCTTGATCAGATTGTAGATTTTCCGGTGTACGTTTCGTATGTGTGAGGATATCCGAAAACGCACGAGTTATCTCCTCAGCCGTTGTTGTCTTTAACGGTCTAGTCCACATAAACTTGAAAAAAGAATCGATTACAATGAGAAATAATTTGAAATTTTTATTTTGATGAGTTTAGGGTCGTATTTCAGTCAAGTCCGTCTGCCATAAATTGTATAAACCTTTAATGATGGTTCGTCGTCTCGGATAATTTTTTCGAGCAGGCTTCTGCAGCTCGTTAACTAGTTGTATCTTCTTCT